CATAAATATTGCATAGTTGTGAATTCATGTAATAATTAAATGTATGTAAAAGTATTGAAAGTACAAGCAAACATACTAGTAGCACATCTATTTTCCAGACAAGAACATGTTTATTATCTTTAACCCCTTAAGGACACATGGCATGTGTGACATGTCATGGTTTCCTTTTATTCCAGAAGTTTGGTCCTTAAGGGGTTAAGGGATCACACAGATAATGTATACTTAATTATAATGCAGAATTCGATATGTATTTGTATCTTGGGCTGCTAATCCTCTTTCTTCTGTAACTGTGAACCAAACTATATATACAATTCTAAGATTATATTTCCAGACTTTCCAGGACATGTTGTAGGACCAGTGAGAATTTTGAATAATGCATTGTCTTAAAGTATGTTAGTGGTCCTTGTGTTAAAGTGCTAAAGATTCACATCATTTCATTAAAAAAGGCAAACATGCATTCTTCACTTACATTCCACTCAACTCTATAATAAATTACAATATGCAGCTGCTGTGACCACAGTAATGGAACGTAAAATGTATTTATGGATGCTGGCAGGATGCACCTTGGCTTTAAGAAAAAAGGATTAGCAAGAAGGAAAACAATGTGAAAGAATAATACAATGTATTAGAATACCTGGTAATGCATGGTTTACTTAAAGTGTATAAAATAGATACAAAATAATATCATTAAAATGTAATTGCAGTAGAGACTCTAATCCAAACAACGAAAAAAAGAAGAACAAAAACTACATTTATTTCTATTTAAAGTATATGTCTTCTTGTAGTTTATGTGTACGGTGCAGCATATGCTGGGTTTCAAAAACAACATATTTAAAAAACATTTAATATACAACTTTACTCCAGCATTTCTTGGTACAGTGGGAATTACCAGGAATTAAAAGTGATTTTAAAATTTAAGTATAAATTAGAAGAACTGGAAAAAATATCCAAATCAACTTTCCTACCAGCAAGGGTGCTTTAGCATTTAATTTGAAATTCACATTAAATTTCTTACAATTCATTCTTTACTGAATAACGCTAATTTGATTATATGGATACATTTTTTCTGTCAAATCTGCCTGATTTGCCTGATCTGATATTGCTTACATCAGTTTCTTTCAGAATTATACATCTGTACATCTGCCCTTTTTTAATTTTCTAATTTCTTTCCAGGAGGTCCTGTGTTTAATTGTAAGTCTCCAACAATGCTTTTATACCTAATACAAATCTTCACTTTTATAACATGAAATAAAGTAGGATACATTTTAATGAAATAGCTTCAAATGTTTTATTGCAGAATGTATTTTGTGAGTATAATTTTGTATTGTATTATTACGATAAAATCTAGACAAGTATGCAACTCCTAGGATTTTTTTTAAAAGGATGCATATGATAACCTAATCATTTAGAATAAAGAAGATAATGCTGTTACACAAAATAATTTGTCTATATAAATGTTAAAATAAATAGTCAATATTTATTTATATAAATATATTAGTTACCATAATCCACAATGCCTAAACTAGCAGGATGTGAAAGATGGACACAGTATGCAACCTTAAAGTCATATACAATAAATATAGTACCTGAGAAATATATAGCTCTGAGAATGGGCTAGAGCTCAGAGAAACCTTAAAAGCTTAGTCGCTGCTCAGGTTTCAAGAATGTTTTTGCTCACTTGTGCCATTACAGAGTGAATCTATATAAATTTGAATATCAGTCTGATCCCGCCCACAAAGGCAATCCAGATCCCAGATACTGGCAAGAGATTCATCAATCCTGGACAATCGTTTTGGCCTTCTTTGAGCCTCATTAGAGAAGTGTAGCTGATACCCCTCTAGGCATGGTGAGACACGGAGGTGAGGGGGAAATATAACAAACACTATAAGTATTATTATAGTACAGGGTGATATTTTATCATGTATGCAAAAACACACAAACATTACTCTCCCTTTGCCCCTTTCTACAAGTAGCCTCCATTATTTTTATAAAACCCTTTTTAGCAATGAATAAAAATATGATATGCAAGGACTTATATTTAATATTAGTAATAAAATATTATACTTTGGGAAACTGTTTTTTTTTTTGGAAGGGGGTATAAGTTGATATTTAGGATGCAAAGGTCAGTCAGTTGTCCATTTGTACAGGTGAATTTAGTTTGAGAGTTTATAATAATTTTTTTCTTATTTGTAGTGTTTTTTTTTTTTCATTAAAGTTATTTTATTATTAGTATTGCCATTATTTGTATGTTATAAATGGGCTTCTACAGTTAGGTTATATGCAACTTACCCATATTAAAAATGTGAACTTTATATGCCATTTTAATTTTGCATGTAGATTAGGTAAATTGTCATGGGAGAATATCGCTGCACTTTAGAACCATCCAGCTGAAATAATATTTCAAAGTAAGAGTCAAACAAGCTTAATTTCCCCACTGTGTCACTGACAAGATATGTCTATCTTTCCTTTCACTCATCTAATCTTCCAAAGGATCTTCAGTAGTTTTTCATGAACTGAAATTCTTCTCGTGTGACAAATTTGAATTCTTTAACTTCAAATTTCTAAGCTTCAAATACTGTTAGACATTGGCTTTACTAACCATACACTAAAAGAAATTGCAGAGTTTTGAAACAAAAGAAAATAGAGCAAAGACCATACCCCTGTCTATCCTGTTATCTTTTTTCTTCAAAATTCATTCAGTTATGTTAAAGCTTATATGGAAAGACAAACCTGGTAGAATTAAGTTAACGTCCTTACAGCATCACAAATCTAACGGCGGCATGGCTGTACCAGCCATCCGCAAATATTACTTTGCCACTAACGCTGCTACAGCAGTTGGATTTTACATACACAGCAACAAACCCAGATGGTTGGAGATGGAGGAAACTCAAGTTTTTCCAGCCTCTCTAAAAGATGCATTATGGCTTAATCCAAAAAAAGGCCTAAAACTACCACTATGTATTTATCTACCAAAACCACACTTAAGGCCTTGGATATTGTTTTCAAGAATAAAACTCAGAGTTCAGGTTTATATAGAGCTATGCCAATCTCAGTTATTAACTATTAGTCATTTACCTACTATAGACATAGACATCTTTAGATTGTCCACAGGAAGATATATGGTGGAAGTGGAGTGTGCCCTGTTTAATGTTAATATTTTAGGAATTTTACACATGGTTCCCAAATGGTTATATAGAGGGAGTATTGGAATGGGAGGCCTCTAGCTCCTCCACGACCCTAATCGAGTCCGTCCTGTGGATCCAGTTCCTAAGGGCATTGGCTGCTGTTAGCATGTGATTAATTAGAAGTTGTGTAGCTTTAGGGATGGGATTAGAATGTAGTAAGAATAGTATTGTAGAAGAGGTGCAGGGGGTCAGGAAACCTGTAATGGAGCATATCACAGTCTCTATCCTATTCCAGAATGTTTGGATCGCTGGACATGACCACCAAACATAGGTAGTGGTGCACCCCTGTTGGTGGCATCTCCAGCATATATCAGGAGTAAAAGGAAAGGCAGCCTTTAGCTTGGCTGGAGAGTAATGCCGTCTGGATATTTGTTTATATGTACGGTAGTGAATATTGTGTTCCAATCATGATGTGAGAACGAGATGTTCAGTTCCTGATGCCTGGAAGTTGTGCATTTGGGCAGTTGGCCATTGTAGATTTCAAGCAGGAGTCTGTAAAGGGTGGAAAGGTGTTTAGCCTTCAGTGATCGGGAGGTACAATATTTTTCATAAGGGGTTAGTTAGTTAGTATTTCACTCTTTGTGAAGTTTACTTGAAAATTGGATATGTTGTTGTAAGTGGAAATTTCTCTCATGAGGGGAGGTAGGGATGTTACAGGGTCTGTAATGGTAAAGAGCAGATTGACTGCAAATGCAGAGATTTTAAATTCTTGGCTTTGGACTCGGAATCCCTGTATGTCGGGATGGTCTCTAATGTTCTGTAGGAAGGGTTCCATGACCAATATGAAGTCTCGTGCCATTTCTGATATGGACCTGTGCGGATAATTGTCCATTTATCTTGAGTCTGGCAGTAGGGGTAGAGTATATGCTCCAATCCATTTTATTCAGTTGTGGCCAAACCCCAGAGCTTGTATGGTTGAGGTTAACAGACTCCAGTCCACCGTGTCGAACGCCTTCCCAGCGTTGCCAGGAGGGCATCAAAAGAATTAAGATGTTTAAGGGAATGGTTTGTTTGAGTCTGGTAGATAAGAAATATTCAATGTCAGCTTGGGGTGGAGGGGCATCTCTGAGGTTGTACATATTAGTATAAAAGGTGTGGAAGGCCTTCATAATGTCTGGGAGGGTGTGCAATACTTTCCCCATGCAGCCTTTAACCCCTTAAGGACACATGACATGTGACATGTCATGATTCCCTTTTATTCCAGACGTTTGGTCCTTAAGGGGTTAATTTTGGAGATGAATGTGGTTTGTCTGGATTGTTTCAACATGGAGACTAGTAATCTGCAACACTTCCCACCCTGTGTGTAGTAAGAGTATTTGGTGCATAGTAGATTTTTCTTAGTTTGAGTGACGAGCAGTCGAAAAGCTGTTTGTATGTGTGTAAAGACCCTTGCCCACTATGGATGTCCTCCAGGTCCCCAATGTCCTGTGTGAGAGTGTTTATTAGTCATTCTCTTCGTTTTTTGAGTTTGGATGCCATGGAAATGAATTCCCCTCATTCTACACATTTGTGTATTTCCCATGTAATGGGGATGTGGTGGGCGAAGTGTTTTCCCTGATATAGTTTTGGAGGGTAGTGTTAACATGAGGTATGATGTCTGTGTTGTCTAGGAGGAGGTCATTGAGTTTCCATTGAAAGGAATGAAGCGGGAGGGAGGAAATCTGAACAGTAAGAGACAGGGGCGCATGGCCCGACAAGGTGATTGGTCCGTAGGAGCAAAATAAAGCTAGGTGAAGAAGGTTGTGAGGGAGGAAAAACATTTCTAACCAAGAGTACATTTTGGATGCCGCTGAGAAGAAGGAGTAGTCTTTCGGATGGGGGTGTATAGTCCTTCAACAGTCAAAGAGTCTAAATAACAATATATCTAAAGTATAAAAGCGCTAAGCATATAACTCTGTATACACAGATAAGGTGGCAGAAAGAAATGTGAAAAATTTCTGTATCACCTTCAAAATGCTAAACACCTCTATTACAGGGTTAAATTCCAAAAAGCTGCTACACACCTGTGTGAACCCAACTCCCACACCAAAAATCAAACAAAATACTTATATAGGTGGAGCGCAAAATCAAATCCACATTTCCATGGAATCCTTTGCACAGCTTCAACTCAGATGGATATAAAAAAGATAAAATGCATATAATAGTGAAGTACAGTTATGGTAAATTGCAAATATTTATTAATCGTTTCACTAGACATAAAACACTCCTAGCAATAAAAGTAATAAATCAAAATAAATCTTGTATAAAATACATAAATAAAAATACATGGATTAAATGAAATAAACAATGAGCCTCTTACAGGATAGAAATAAGTCAGTGTATGCAGTCCCAGCTGCTACTCACTAACGCTGTATAGTTGCCTTAGTTCAGGCACAAGGTTGACAGGCAGCCGGCTTCTCTCTTGTCTCCTCCACGGACATCGTAGAGAAAGCGGGCCGCTGAAAAATCCTGGGTGCCAGTCTGGGGTTCTCTGAGCTTCCCGGGTGCTCCGCCCCTTTTGCGTCACTCCGTAACAGGCGTGCGTCACTGCGTCGTCTACGCTTTTCGCCGAAGCTTCCTCAGGACACAAAGCAGTGATGCTGACTTTTCTCACTAGTCCACTATTTAAAGCGATCCTTTCGCTTCCTATTGGATCCCTAATAATAGTGTCTCTTATACAGGTGTGTTAAAACCATGCAGTCTCTGCTTAACTCTATAATTACCTATACTGAATAAACATATTTATTGCAAATATCATGGACATTTAAACATTAAATATATTATTGACAAACATTTCTCAATCTTATTCCACCATACCTAGTTTTAAGAGAAGAAAGAAAATTGGTAACAGGAAATTAATACAAATATAAATATAAATTTTCATCAAACTTTTAAACTTTTCTTTATCAATTTTAGCTTTTAACCGTTTGTCCCTTTTTAAAAAGGTGTTGCCTTCTCCAAAGAAGTGTCCATATTTAAAGTGCCCCAAACCAATTTAAAGTGCTATATTCAAAATTCAGAACCATTTGCTATAAAGTGCAGATCATATATATAGTTTTAATTAAAAATTTAAATTTATTCATACAGTCACCTAAAAAATATATATGAAAATATATCTAAAAATATATAATAATGTAAAAATATTTATAAGAAATGGCACAACTCAAAATCATTATTAAGGCCAAAAGGAATGAGAGTATTGAGTTCAAAAATCCATCTCATTTCCATTTGGCCCAATTTTTTCGTACGGTCTTCACCTCTCCAATTAAAAAGTGCTTTCTGTATTCCAACGAATGATAGACCAGATGGGTCACTCTTGTGATGTTCTTTAAAATGTAAAGATACCTGATGCAATGCAAAACCCTTACGGATATTATATACGTGCTCCCCTACTCTAGTATGTAACTGGCGTGTAGTGCGACCTATATAGCTTAATCCGCAGGGGCAGACAAGCATATAGATTACATTACTAGTGTGGCAGGTTATACATTCCTCTATCTTATAGGTTTTAGTCGGTGACATAAATTGATCTCTAAAATTTCTATGAGAGCCTGTGGCTTTACACGCATTGCATGTCCCACAATTATAAAAGCCTTTCTTTAACCCTACGTGTTTTTCTAACGACCCTAAGGTTTTATTGTCATTTTTATCTTGTTTAAACGTAAAAATATTTTTAACGTTTGGAACTCCTCTATGGACAATTTTTGGTTGAGTAGGTAAAAGATTATGTAGTGCCGGATCTTTTAATAAAAAATGCCAATTCTTATTAATGATGCTCCTCAATCTGCCATTATGTCTCCCTGCAAATTGGCAGATAAAGGGTACATCTTCTATATTCTTCTTATTCTTTTTTGGACCATTGTATTCCAAAAGAGACTTCCTATCTATCTGTTGTACCTCTTCTAGTGTCTTATTTAAATCTTTACCTTCATAACCTCTAGCTTTAAAATCTTCTATTATCTTCTGGCCCTGGTCCAAGAATGTCTCTTTGTCCGTACAATTTCTTCTAATACGGATGAGTTGACTTTTCGGTACATTCTTGAGCCAGGGACTGTAATGTCAACTCGACAACTCTATATAGCTGTTCACATCGACAGCTTTAAAAAAAGTCTTGGTTTTAATCATCTCATCCTCCATAAAAATCGAAAGATCAAGGAAATCTACTTTGGATCTACTATAATTAAAAACTAGGGATACTCCCCAATCATTCGAATTAACTTCTTTAATAAATACTTCTAAAAGTTCTTCATCTCCTTTCCATATAAAAAACAGATCATCTATGTAACGCTTATACAACACCAGGTTCTTATCCCAGCTACCGCTCATATCCACAAATTGATTTTCCCATAATGACATAAATAGATTGGCGTAGCTGGGGGCGAACCTGGTGCCCATAGCAGTACCACACAACTGCAGATAAAAATTATCCAAGTACCAAAAATAATTGTTGTGCAAAATTAGCTCAATGGCTTCCAAAACAAAGCCTATTTGTTCTTCTGGGTACTTGGAATGATGTTTCATAAAAAATTCCACTGTCGGGTGATTTGTCTGCATGCATGACGTCGTTTGGTAGTGTGTGGCTTGAGACGTGGTCTCAAGGGCAGTGTCAAGTGAAACATTGAGATCTCCTCCCAGTATCAGAATGCCTACTAGTAATGATTCTATAGTGTGAAGGCATTTCTTGAGGTTTTTTTTTCCCTTGGCATCTGTTTGGGAGATACAAGTTGGCAAATGTGATAATGTGCTGTCCAATTTGGCCTTTGACCAATCAAAGTCTGCCAGCACATAGAGAGAAATAAGGCATTTGTAGAGGGGAGAGTTGAGGTCAGAATTGGAGGTGACCTGGCATAGCATGGTGGGGGAGCATGAGAAGATCCATGGAAGGTAAACCTGTAGGTATTGGAAAGAAGAGGTGATGGTGAGGGAGGACGGGGGGGGGGGTCAAAGTTAGTCCTCATGGTATAGAGTTGCAGGTTACTGTCCTTGATATAGAGTATCCTTGTCATAGTTCTTGTCCACTGCCATCTAGTGCGGTCTTGTACAGTCTCGTTGGAGCAAGTTCCGCAGCGGTTCCACTGTAGGAATCCCAAAGGCTTCTTTGTCATCATAGAGGGTATCAATACGTTAAGTGTGGCATATGAATTGTATGTGTAGATCCACATCCAGGTGTTTTAGTCCTGTGCTTGATCTTGTAACGGTGGTCTCCGTTTCCTAGGAGTCTACTGCCATCTTGGCCTCTGTGACAATTGCTGCGTGAAGGGTGTATGGATAGGGCCATACCAGTCCAATACGTGCATTTCAGATAGATTAAGGGCTCGAATGAATGGGACTATGTCTGCATGGGAATGTATGGAGTGGACAGTACCTTTGTGGGAAACATGCAGCACCATCGGAAAAATCTTTTTTCAGGTTTCGAGCACGTAGTTGATCTGTGACTGGTTGCAGGATTCGTCGCACCTGCAGGGTGAGCCAGGGTATATGCTGACTGGTGTGGAGTGCTGTAAAAGAGGCTGAGATGAATGTTTGAGGGCTTCCAAAATCTCTTCCTTGCATGTGAAATAATGTAGTCGGCATATTATATTCCTGGGCCTTTCATCCTTTGGGCCCCTCGGTTGCAGTGCTCTGTACGCTCCGTCAAAAAGAATAGGGGTGTCAATCGGTTTGCCCCATACCAAGTTGAAGAGTTCTTGGAGGACGAGATGAAGATTTTCTTGGTCAGATTCAGGGAGGCTGCGGATTCTCAAGTTGTTCTGTTGGCCTCTGTTGACGAAATCATCGATGGATCTCTGGATCACTGAAAGGTAAGCATTGTGGGCTTCCACTGACTCTTGCAGGAAGCGCATTTGAGTGTACAGTGTGTCTTCAAGCGCTTGCACCCTGCCGCTCACCTGGTGTTTGTCCAAGCTTATGGCATCCATCCAACTGAGCTGGATGGTAGGGAACTGGAGTGAGGCAAGCCGGGTGCCATGTTGGTCCCTATTGCAGCCTGGATCGCAGAAGTATTTAGTGAGGGCGCCCAATATTCCTGCCGGGGTCTTGCCCGATGATTGTTGACAGACTGTAGATCTTTTTGGGTGGCCCTAGCCCGATGTAGTGGGATTTGTGTCTCGGTTTGCGGGAGCTAGGCTAGCATGTGTCCATTCAGCTCCGTAGGTGGCTCCGCCCCTCCTACTACTGTCTATTGTTACTCACTGCATAACACTGAACCCTCCCTTAAACTAGGACACATGTTGTTGTGGGAGAGGGAGCCAGGTACGCAATACAGTTTGGAGGAATGGTTCAAATTATTTACAGCTCTCAAAGGTATTACTTATTGCACAAATCATCTTGAGAACCATTACAAGATCCTTTATCAATGGTATCTGGCTCCCTCTTGTCTACACAATATGAATAACAAATACTCTGGCCGGTGTTGGGGGGACTGCGGAGCTGTAGGTTATATGGCTAATATTTGGTGGTTCTGCCCAAAATTGTCTAAATATTGGAAGGAAATACATAGACTCATCCATTAGTACCTGAACAATCAAACTTGCATTATTTAAGCAATTCCCGGGAATCTGTTACCAAAATCTATAGAATCATCATAAGCCACGTCCTAATTGCTGCTACCTCATGTTTAACACAATATTGGAAATTGCCTGCTACTCCATCACTCAAATAAATCTTGAATTGTTTTAGACAATAAAATGCAGAAAATGTCATATAGTGTCAAAGTTCCAGTTTATATGTGCAACTTCAACACAGCTTGGATATATGGGAAAATTGCATTAAGAAACCTATCGATTATAATTGTAATTTTCTTTTGTGATTTTGATGAACAACAAAATGTAAATGTAATATTATGTTCATTGTTATTACAGATGGATACCCTTCCCTTTTTCCAAGTTTCCCTTCCCCGAATAGTTTGTCTTGCTATTCATTATTTTTGCTGTAAAACGTTAAAAACTTTAATAAAAACTATTTGAAAAGAAAGTAAAACAAAATGTATCAATATTGGTAAATAATAATTTTTCAGTGGCAACTGTATAATTTTATAAAATATGTCCAATTACCTAGGTTACACATATAAGTGTCCCAGTACACAAAACATTAAAGAAACACTCTAACATTTAAAATAATATAAAACTTTTTTAACCCCTTAAGGACACATGACATGTGTGACATGTCATGATTCCCTTTTATTACCTTTCAGTTTTTTCCTTGTTGTTACTGTTACTCTTTAGATCCCCTTGTTTAACCTCTTTAGACCGGAGGGCGTACTATTATGACCTATTTTAGGCGGCTCTAAACGCCGCCGGGTGTAATAGTATGCCCTCCGGTCTTTCTATACTTACCCGGTCGCCGGCGATCCCACGCCAGCGATCGCGGTTGGGTGGACTCACAGGGAGCCCCCGCTTCACGTCCGACCCCCTGGCAGCCCCCCGGCCATGTGAGAGTGAGGTCCTTGCGAGGACCTCACAATCACATGGCCGGGATAGCTGCCTCCTGCATTGCCAGCAGGGGGGCTGCCTGTAATGACAGGTGGTCCCCCTGCTTGCTGGAAATAAAATTAAAAAAAGTTAAATAAGTGTAAAAAAAAAATATATACTTAGATCATATATATATATGATCTAAGTATATATATATATATATATATATATATATATATATATATATATATACACATACACACACATATACTGTCTATGTGTATTTTACTATTAATATATATATATTAATATCAAATTACACGTAGACTGATACTGATAAATATATATATATATAATTATTGTTATATATATATTTATATATAATATAAAAAAATTAAATATGTAAATACGTTAAAAAATAAAATTAAAAAAATAATTTAAAAAAATAATTAAAAAATATATAGATGTGTGTTATTTCGTTCTAATTGTATTGTGATATTAATATATATATCAAAATACACGTAGAACGAAATAATATATATATTGTAACAAACCACCTCTTTTACAGGTAGGATTGTCACAGATCTTGCAGTAACCACAGCCTTCTAGGGTATACAAAGTCCAGGACACATTCAGCTCGGTTTTCCTTTTTATTCAGCAAGAAAACAGGTGCTTTAAATAATAACAAAACAAACAAAATCCCTTGCTCTTACTTGAGCTCTTACTAGACAGTAATTGCTATCTGCAATTGGGTGGCTTTCCCACTTACCAATTTTCCAAACAAAAGAAATGTCTTTGCAATACACACAATCTCTCCTAGCTGTCTTTTTCTCCCTCACTCTGCAGCAGGCTGTTCTCTTCTTTTAAAGGCCTGTCTACTAATTGAGTAGCTACAGGTGAGTGCCAATTAGTTAACTCTTAAAATCAGATCCAAGCTGTGGTCTGTTATACAGCAACTAGTGCTGTTGGAGCATTGGCCCACCCTGCTCTCCAAATACTCCGCTCCAGGGACCCATACCATGTTTTGCAGAGCATCAGCTATGCATATTGCAAACTTTAACCTCTCTCCCTGGGGCATTTAACTGAAAATCCTCTGGTTGCTGTTTAGCAAATCAGGTCTGATGTATCTCCCATCAACCACTATTCCACCTTTACGCTCACAATATCTATATACATAAATATATACGTATATATCACTATATATATACCTTTATATAAGTAAAAATATTTGTAAAAAGTTCTATATATATATATATATATATACATATATATTCACAAACGTATATATATACATATATTAATTCTACATATATATTTATGTAATATTTTTACATAATTAGGTATCTTAATTAATTACAATTAGCGGGACCTGCCTGACAACCCATGCCGAAAGTAAAGGGAATTTAATTTGCTAGCACTATATTTAACCCTATAACTTTCCAAGACACCATAAAACCTGTACATGGGTGGAACTGTTCTACTCGGGAGACTTCGCTGAAGACAAATATTAGTGTTTCAAAACAGTAAAATGTATTACAACGATGATATCGCCAGTAAAAGTGAAGTTTTTTGCATTTTTCACGCACAAACAGTACTTACGCGGACGATATTATTGCTGCGATACTTTTTACTGTTTTCAAACACAAATATTTGTGTTCAGTGAAGTCTCCCGAGTACAACAGTACCCCTCATGTACAGGTTTTATGGTGTTTTCAAAAGTTACAGTGTCAAATATAAAGCTTGTGTTTCATTTTTTTCACATTAAAATTCGCCAGATTGGTTACGTTGCCTTTGAGACCCTATGGTTGCCCAAGAATGAAAATTACCCCTATGATGGCATACCATTTGCAATAGTAGACAACCCAAGGTATTGCAAACGGGGTATGTCCAGTCTTTTTTAGTAGCCACTTAGTCGCAAACACTGGCCAAAATTGGCGTTTTTTTGCATTTTTCACACAAACAAATACTAACACTAACTTTGGCCAGTGTTTGTGACCAAATGGCTACTAAAAAAGACTGGACATACCCCATTTGCAATACCTTGGGTTGTCTACTATTGCAAATGATATGCCTTTATGGGTGTAAATCTCTTTCCTGGGCTACTATAAAGTCCCAAAGGCAACATAACCAATCTGGCGAATTTCAATTTCAAATGTAACGTGCTATATTTGACCCTGTAACTTCCCAAAACACCATAAAACCACATAGGGGGTACTGTTTTACACGTGAGACTTTGCTGAATACAAATATGTGTATTTTATTGCAGTAAAAGCAAACAGTATTATGACATTCACCGTTAAAATGTCATGTAGAACCTAAAAAAATAAAAATAAATCTTATTTTCTCCCATTTTTTTCATATTAAATTATGTTCCATAGCTAAATATTTGATATTAAATGAAAGCCCTGTTTCCCCTGAATACAATGATATATAATAAGGGTGGGTGTATTTAATATGAAAGAGGTGTATTACGGTTGGACAGACATGTAGCGCAAATGCCAGGTTTTGTTTACATTTTGTTTCGTTCGCAACGTGTACATTTGGCTCCGTCCTTAAGGGGTTAATTTATTTAGACTCCCTCATTTATATAAACAAAATTAAAATAAAATAAAAACATTAAACTCATTAATCCAGCATGTAACTGGTCACCTACAGTCAGATGAGCAAGTATGATAATCTTGTGTCTAATCAAATGTTTCTTATTAGATAGCATACTGAAAGGCAGTTTGGAATAGAGAGAAAATAGACCCCTTTATCTCCATAAACCTCATATCCCCAAAATAAGGATTTAACTGCTCCAAATCATCTTGAAGTTTTTACAGGTTATATAGAGCGATCTTTTAAAAAAAAAATTGAGTAATGAGAGATCTAATGTGGAACACACTATTCTCTCTGGCTAAACGAATCAGAGGTTTAGAAGAAAGGGAAGTAGAGGAGGAAGGAAGATGGAGGGGAAGGAAAGAGAAAACCATGAAGATATAAACCTTATTTATCAGATATCTTAAACAAAGTCTACATCACCGTTTTAAGTATGGGTTTTAAATTGGCCCCAAGCTGCTCAGTTAATAAGTTTGAATTATTGCTTTATGTAAATCAATTTTAAAGAAAAATATGTGTGAAAAAATATTTTTAAATAAAAATGATGAGGTTTGCAATAATATTTACTTGCAAGAATAGAATAATTATCTTTCTTTGATGATGAGTTATGAAGAAGCCTGTATGAAAGAGATTAAGTAAATTAGACATCTAACTACATTTTTAAAAATACTTTTAATAAAAATCTTGATATAAATGATGTAAAGAAGAATACTAGTATAGTTATAAAGCCTGCAGATTAGGGTGGTGACGTGGTTATAATAAGAAAAACTGATTATATTTATGAAACCTATGGAATATGAGAGTAATAGAGAAATATAAGGTGGCACAGGCGGCCACATCAGGGCACACTGGCACTGGCTAAGTGCGGACCAGGGAAGAGGAGCTTCACTAACCTCTTCCCCGGTCTCAGA